CACACACACACCCTGGCACGCCAGCGAGCGCTCACACACACGCACGCATACACACACACACACACACGCACACACACACATACACACAAACACACTCACACATACATTCGGTACGCGCGTGCAGACACATAAGCAAACGACCCCATACAAACATGCGTATACACATACAGCGACATAAATACAAGTAGATATTGTTCCAAAACTTTAAAGCTTTTTTTCATTTTGTTCCTATCATAGCTTTTAACTGATTTGTAAACCTTTGTTTCCTAGAAATTATAATAGTAGGGCCTATTATGTAGGAGATGAATAATTAGCCTACATGTTGTATCACCAAGTTTCTGCCAACAATGCACAAAACCAGCTAAATTAAGGCTGGTCAAATTAATTCAAGTGATTCAGACCAGTCGGTTAGACAGAAACATGGTTTGTACACATATAACAGCAAAAGAAGACTGTCATCTACTTGATTAGCAATTTTTCTTATTTCATAGTTGTAGAAAAATACCTTTTCTGGCCTTTATTAACTGGCGTTTTTCTTCAACTGCTTACATTTCGCGGAGGTCACAATCTGTCTTTGGCCGATGACAAAATTCTATTTTTGGCCGTTCCGGTGATGAGTGAAGACGGAAGTGTTGTTGCCGGGCAGTAATCAGTCAGTTGTACTCCCCCCTACTTTTCGTTGATGGTGTCACAGAATTGGATGTTGTTTTAGAAAGCGGGTTTCGGACGCCAGAGGAGGATGTACCTTTCATAACTTTTTTGGAATACCTGTGTGATATACTTTTGAAGGTATGTTTTATTATGTGTATGGTGTGCTTTGTTCCACACCTGAACTTAACACCTGTTCGAACACACAGGTGTTGACATTTGGGGCTGAATGTTTACATCTTACTACCTGAGTACTTTCCCTTTGCCTTCAAATGTTACTCTCTGCTATTTGGCCGAACGTTTACTTTGCTGCAACTAGACTTCTCTAGATATCTATTGTAACCCCTCGCACGTTTCCTCTTGCAGACATGCCTACTTTATTTTAGGCATCAACTAGATCTAGATCTAGATTCTAGATCTAGATCTAGTCAATTTATTTCATAAGGTTCTAGTTTATTTTAATAATGAATGGACAGTAGCCCAGTCATTCACCAGGGCTTAAAGGGTTGTTCGATTGGGTGGCAATGATTGGTGGGGTTGGGGCAACTCCCCGAGAACTCTAAGCCACCGCTAGCCTAAATTTACATCATGAAAGGAAGCTTTAATCTCAAACGTTGTGTAGCATGCATTGCATGAATTTTAGTATCTCAAGTTTTGGTTACGCCCAGAAGGCGAATGCTAGGCCCAATTTTCTCATTGATTGCGATAGGGCCACTACGATGCGATGACTATGAAAAAAGCTGATGGTATTATTGCAGTATATTTTTAAAAAAAGTCTCAACATTGTCTTTTGCTCTGCAGTTGTCACAACATTAAGAAGTGAGATATTGTTTGAAACATTAAAGAAAAGTGTATATGTATTACTGTTGGCTATGAGGAAGAAAATGCATCATGCACTTGATCCTCAGTTTTCTCATCTCTGTACAGGGAAAGCAGGCATACTGTCTGTGTTCCTGAAAGAAATGCTTAAATATTAGGCTAGAATTTCACACCGTCGATTGAGGGTTTGAAACACAATATAGGTACTTATTCCACAGTCACACCCCTACAAGTATGTACAACACACACACACACACACACACACTCACACACACAC